CAAGTTCTGGAAATATCAAACTGTGATTGTCTGCTCTATTCAGCGACGGCATTTGCGTGCATCCTTCTTGACTGAGCATATCATATGCAAAATCAAACGACCTGCATCGCACATCGGGAGTGCTAATCCCTCCCTTAGCCCACTCCACTCCCGCCCCCCACATTTTCCTGTCGTCTATATTTTGCTAAACTGGGAATGTCTTTTATCAGGGGGGATGGGGGGTTCCAAGGTACGCCTAAACCCTGTATGTCTTAATAGGGCCCCAGTTTCCATCACGTTTTGAATATGATCTTGAACTGTAAACGCCGTAGGCATACCCCATCGCAACCCCACCATACCCCTTGATGACCCTGTTCACCCTACAAAAGTTAAGCCTAAACTTTTAACCCTAAAATAAGACGCTTTGCCCTAGGACCATCCTTGTACCCCTAAATAGGGGTCTGTGGTCCCCCATTGTGGGTATTGAAGGGCCAATAAAGGGTAGAAGGAGGGACTAGGTACATAACGCTAGCTTCCACGTCATTTTCCGTGTTCTTTTCCATTTGCTTCTCCATTATAGTAATTTTCACGTGCTTTCCCATTCCCCAAACCGTAAACCCAAAACTCTAAATCCTAAACCCTAGACCCTGAACCCTGAACCTAAACATCTCAAAGTCCTAAACTCTAAAGCCCAAATCCTAAATCCTCAACCCTTTGTCTAGGCAAGGGCTGGGCCTGCACTTCTGCACGCGGCATCCACGCTGGATGCAAGCTGGAAGTCGAAGCCCAGCACGCTAAGACCCACAATGACGAGGTCAAATCCCTTCACCAACTCCTGGCGGGGGGTCCCTTTCAAGGGATTACGTAGGGCGATGTAAGGATCTCTGGAGATGTATGTACATTTCTTGGGAGGAGGAATTGTTGGAGCTCTATCTTTGGGATTGTGGTGTGTTGGGGTTCTATATTGGGGGCCTGTGTTTGGGGTTTAAATTACTTAGGCAAGTGAACAAGCCGAAAGGCTTAAAAGAAGCCGGAGAAGCCAGCAAGCCGCGACGCCAAAAAGCAAAAAACACAAAAACATACAAAAACACATACCTTAAACATACTCCTCCCTGCGTTTATTGGGAAACATCCTGGTGAGGCCGATGGGCTCCTACTGTGGGCTCACCTATACCACATGGTAGCACTGCTAGCATAGCGTTATAGGTGTTGTATTGGGATTATCTCAGGTTATATAGGAGTACCGGACAACAAAGAAGGCAGGTACTGGCACTTCCACTGAACCTTTGAACAACTCGGATTCATTCTCTCTGTATGCTACAGACCGGGAAGATTACCAACCACAGCAAAACGAGAATCCTTTCTGGTTGTTAGCGCCCTCTCCGTATGCGCCAGATCCGCCAGCCCTATATACCCACCAGCTAAGATCAAGCGGGCTTGTAGACAGGTAGTGAACCAAAAAAATTAGGAACCCCCGCGAATCTGTGGAAAGAGAAAGAACTGGTCACATAAAACTCCAGGGAAAAGGCCTCCACGTTTGACATGTCTGATTGCTGACATCCCAAGCCTTCAGCTTTGCTTCGTCGCTGCCCGTTTCGGCGCGATCACTGCTGCACGACACAGTACAAAGCCTTGCAAGCAGCTCTAAGGCAGCGATTCCAAGCAGTTTCTAGAGCTTCAAGTCTACCCCTCACCCAAGGCAAGATCAAAGAATTCAGCGGCAAGGCAGTATGCTTACTTGCCTTTGTTTCCCGAGAACCTTTCGCAATGGGCTCCAGACTGCACAGGCAACGGACAGCACAAGGGTAAATCAACAAATCTCCACTATACATTTGTAGGTGCTACTGATCTGCGACCGCATTCTGAAAAACAGCAAGATGTCCAGAGCAAAGGCCTTCTTCTGGGTTGCTGCTAAGGAACCTAAGTCAAAGTACCAAAGTTATGAAATCCCAATATTTTCGATGTATCCCTATTCCAGTAGCTTAGCTCAATTTTCTTAATGGCAACCCCCTAGACCCTAAACCCTGAACCCTAAGCCCCATTATCATTACTTTTTTCTGCCAAGGTGCGGGTTCATCTCCTGCACCTTGGAAAAGAGGGTTTAGGGTTTAGGACGTCTGAGCCAAACATGGGCCATGTGAGGTGGAATTCCACAAAGCTCCCCCTTCTTAAAAGGGCAGTAATCTTGTAGGTCCTGTTTGGGGTTCCTCCTTTCTGATTTGAGCCAGAATCTGAACTCCTAGTATCCCCCTTAGTAATTCCTATAGTACTCCGCTACAATAATCCCGCTTCAAGGAGTTTAGAGTCTAGCTCATGTAAAGGGATTGTAGGAATTAAGGTTTAGGGTTGAGCGTCTAACGTGGTCACTGTTGCTAAGATGTGAATCCCGTCGTTTGTGTTTTTTTTTTTGGTGGGAGGGGGGGGGGGCTGCTGGCATTTACTCCTAGATGGGAAAGCCTCACGATAAGGGACCTTTCTTGCAGTCCTTATTCTTAGACGATGCTCAGGCAGCCCAAGGACCCAGAATTAAGCTGCAGTCGTAGACGGACTTGCAAGGGGGGCCTTGCGAGGCATAATTGCGGAAAAATCAAAAGAGTAATGGGATTTCGGATGTGCAGCTTCACCAAATTCACGGTCCTCGATGTCCACGTCGCAAAAGAAAATTGGGCGATGGTTGTAAGTAGTCTGCCGGCCCAACCCCTCAACTCTGCTTGCGAACTCCGTACCAGGGGACAAAAGCCCGTTGAAATCACAGCAACCTACGAAATCCAGCCTCAATCCAGTTGATTCATTACTCCAACCCCTCAAAGATACCCAGGCTCTCATTGATCTTCAAGGCTTGGGGAGTTACCTACCCTCAGATTACACTGCATTTCAAGACACTCTCTTTGAGGCGCAGGTTGCCCTGGACTGTCCCAAGTCCTCCGGTCGGAGGAAGTAGTTGAATCCTCAGCCGCAAGGATAAATATGGGGGCTCACGTAGAGTCTGGGTCGCCATTGCGCAGTCTGCGGGGCTCGATTGACAGACATGAGAGGGTGTCCTCGAGAGAACTTGGATTGGCTGCTTCAGAATGCGTCGATTGCCATTGAGGTCGCGGCCTACATCTGCAGCAGTCACTGCCCGGTGATCCCGCAAGGTCAGCGATATGCCTCCCACATTTCGCTCTTCTTTCGTGTGTTTCTCTCGATCCGAGAGCGTCCCCAATAAACGGCTTTGTGATCTCTTCTGCCTACGGATCCGTCTATCACAAAACAGGTTCCTTCTTATGACACAACCCCTATATAACCCCATTGTAATCGTTTCCATTTTCTCTTCCACTATCCCAGTATAACCCTTTTATAACCCCTCTTATGGGTCTATGCCAAAGCTGGTCCCCGTGCAGCGAGGTCCTCAGCTCAGGGAACCTCAGAAAGGGCCCCATTTAGTATATGATGTTGTAGTACAGTATGACATATTATAGTACATCACAGTATGCTCTAATATAATATAGTAGATTATAATATGGTATTTTGGTCATCCTAAGTCCTAGGTCCAAGCGCGGGATGGCACCTGCCAGCACCAAATTCTTGCAGGCTTCCACATTGCTTCCCTCAATGCCCCAGATCAGGACCTGGCCAGGGGCCACAGCTCCAGCATCTGCCACTGTGCAAAAAAAATGCACTCTCCTTAGGCGTCCTTCTAGTAGCAACCCTAGAAGCATGGCGTTTACGTGACAGACTCCTGTTTGAGAAGTGGTCATCTTAGGGAACCTGCCCGCCCAACAAATGCAGACATGCGTGAGCCACACCTCTGGCCCTGCATAGAAGGGTGTTAGTCCTAAACCGAACTTCCTTACGCCTTACGCCCAACCCTGACTCCCAAATCCTAAGCCCGATTTCCTGAACCCCAAGCCCTGCCTCCAATTATTATTATTATTACTACTATTGTTATTCTCTACTACTATTATTACTACTATCATTATCAATTATCAATGCTATTATTATTGTTATTATCTACTATTATTACTATCATTATTACCTATTATCAGGGCATCCCAGAAACCCCCCCCTCTGAAGCCTTGGCATTCAGTAGTCTCTGCTGCGCTTGGACGCCCCAAAGGCGAAGCTGACCTCGAGATTCATTGCTTCTAAAGGGGAGGTTATACCATAGTACAATGGGGGATAAATTTAAGGATTACATTGGTATATATAGGGGATATATAAGGGTTCTACAGGGATATATAGGGGATATATTGGGGTTATATAGGGATAATGGAAAAGAACATGGAAAATAGGTTATATAAGGGTCATCTAGGAGTCACCTATAGGAGCCTCGATACGGGCGGGGCTGCATTAGGGGCCGCATAGAGATTGCAATGCATCGGCAGCAAGAGTCTGCACTTAAGGCCGCAGCGATCATACACAGCCACCTGGTCCCCGGTGATGGCCGCCATTCCCTGCAGGTCGTGGGTAAGGGATGACAGATATGAAGCATTTTGTGGCATAATTTTCGGTGAATCCTTTCTAGCTCTAGGTCCATGTTGACTTGGTGGGAAGGGGAGGGCGGGTTGATCTTGACTCTTTTGGTGAATGGGTTGCTCTGCTTCCCAGTAGAATCAGATGGTCCCTGCAAAAACGTGATGCAATCTTACCCCCCTACCTTCCTCCCCACAAGCCGTGCGTTGCATCGACATATATGAAACGCTTGTAACACCAGAGCCACCTACAAGATGTTCGTTGCAATGAAGCAGTCATACTCCAGGCATACAGTGATCACCCGACAGCCTTCAGCTTGTACCACCAGCGGCAGACTAGGCGGCTGGCTGAGCAAAACCGGAACTGCGGCAGGCAAGCTTGCGGCGGGGCTCATGAACGGCTGCGTGCGATCTCCAGGAAGACTTGGTAAGAAGTGCCTAGCCGCACACCCAATGACAAACAAGAAAAAGCAGTGCCGCAAGAGGTCCAAAAAGGCCTACCTTCCCTGGACTCTGTTAGCAATTTTGGCGTCAATCACTTGCGTACCCACATGTCAGGTCCCCCGCAGACAGCGGATTTGGCAGCTGCGAGGTTTCCTGGGAATGTGACCAATGAGACATGCCTTTTATATGGCTCTGGAAAGCACAACATGGCCTCGTATTTGGATTGCATCTTTCTCTAAGCCTAGGATGCCCCAGCTGCATGATCCTGGCTACTCCAGGTTGCGCGAGCCTCAACTCCTGGGCCACCTCGTCTTTCATCAACGTGGCTAGCAGCAGCGTCAGCAGCAGTAGCCGTGAAGGCACGCTGGTTATGACTGCCAACTTATCATCATCTATGGCTATTTGCTCGCCATTTAGTTTACAGCCTCAGATCAAATCATTGCTGCTGGTATCTATCTTATTTGCTTCGTTGGGCCCAGTGACAAGATTCTTGGAAAGCATAGGCCAAAGAACATCGAAGCCCGACAGGCGTACTCCCGTGGCCTCGGCATCACGGGCTGCCCGACCTTTGTTTTTGCAGCAGTTCTTGCAGGTACCACATTGTCTAGCAGCAATAAGATGACAGTAGCATTATGATGTTCACCACAGCAGCAGTAGCAGCAGCAGTAATAGTAGTAGCAGCAGCAGCACCAATGAATGAGAAGAGACGGTGAAGCTGCGAAACTTAACGCTGCTCCGTGTCTACTCTAGACATGGAAGCAAACGGTCTTGGCAAATGTAAATTCGCCTAGGCTCAAAGCACCGAAGCCGGAAACCCAAATCCCCCATTCCAACTCACGAAGCAGCCAAGGCATGCAGCCATGCTTGGGTCATGAGCCCTACTTGCAAAGCTGAGCTTAAGTAGACAGCTTAGCTTTATGTAGGCTTTTGGTTTCGGGGGTAGCAGGCGCCCCAACCTTCAATCATCAAAACACACGGCTCGACCTCCCCCAAAATTAGCTCAACGTGATCAAAAACATGTCATGTTCAAGGCTTTGGGAGCCACCTTCCTGGTTTCAATTCATTTCCGCAGCGTTGCTATGAATCGATCTGGTGAAAAATGGTGAAACCGCAGAAGAGTGCTGCAAGGCTCATGCGGAAGCGGATGTCACACACACACACACACACACTGTTACAACAACGGCCCAGGTTCAATGAGGGTCAGAATGGTACAAATGTCTGCCCGCGCAAGGTGTCCTTAGCCTGAATACCGTGACATGCTACTGTTGAACGGCCTACATCGTGGCCTTTTGCACCCCAGTTGTCACAGGGTAGCATGCTGCGTCTCATGAGATTAGTAAGTTGCATCAAAAATACCGCCGAGCGTTAGCAAACTCCATCTACACCGCCGCTCACGAGATACTGATGGCGTGCTACACGACAGGGTACGCCTGGCAGTGACAATGTATTGCAGGATGTGCATTTTACATGCTTTGGGCTGGCGCGCTTTGGCTCTAGGAATAACATAAAGCATAATAGAAGGCACATCCGTACTTCATCATACTTCCCCGCAGGCTAACAAAAACATCCCGGGACCTACCCAGCATCTTACACTGACACGAAAAGCCAGCATACTGCATATCGGCTCAGCTCCGACCGATGATGCTCTGTGGAGGCTGACTGCACGACCCTGGTGAAGATGCTCTCGTTGGCTAAAGCCATCGGCTTGAACTCTGGCTGGAGAAGCGCAGGACTATTACTATATCAAAACTACAAGATTGCTATACTATTATGGTACTATGGTGCCTTTTGCGACTTCCTTGCCCAAGTCGCCAGCTCATGGATGTGAAGTTCTGACAGGGTTGCCTACTTCAGCAACCGCACCCAGTTCTACCGCATAAAGCAAACAACATCCCGTAAAGCGACACTACTCTTGGGGTTATAAAGGGGATATATTGGCATGATGGAAAATGGAAACTTCTATTTAGGGTTTTGGGGTCAAGGTTCCAGCAGAAGCGCCTTGTCCCCGTCGATGACAAACCCTTCACCTCAAAAAGCAGCAACTCCACTTACTTCCTGGTGGGTCGTCGGGAATAGAGGAATATACGGAGATTATATTACTGTTCCCCTATTCCTTACTAACCACCAGTAAGTTTACTTTAGTAATTTAGTAGCAGGTGGGCCGTACCTCTAAACAGGACGAGCTACAGCCCGGATCTATTTGAGCTACACAAAATGCCATTGCGAACACCTCCATAGGAGCACGAGCCAGGGTCTCTGGGGGCTTTCCAAAATTAGGGGTACCTTCTTGGGGGGTCCTCAAAATAGAAGGGTTATAGCATATTGGGGTCTCCCTATTTGTGGAAACTTAAGCCCGGCCAATCGCTTTCGATTACTCCACGGCTAGGGTCACTTTGGACTTCTTGTCATCCAGGGAACCGTCAGCCAGCTTTATCACCTTGTTTGCATGAACATGGTCAGTTGGGTAGCTCTTGGCGGGGATGGGGCATCATTCAGGGATTATGCGCGGGGTCTAGAGGGGATCCAGGAGAACATGTAGCAGTCAGGGGGCGACGCAGTACATGACAAGACTTTGGTTTCAAAATAAATGAAGCTACCAGGCTACTTACACATGTATAGCTGCCGACGAACCTATGGATGAGGAAGCCGCAAGCTTCTTCTTGATAGAGCCCTCAGCAACTTTTACCCCTATGATTGCTTGTAGTTTCATCTGTCTGCCACTGTGTTGTTGCTGTAGCGGTGGCGGCGGCCACGGAGGCGGACGTGGCAAGGGCGGTGGAGTCGTGGCGGCGAAGGGACGGAGGTGGTGGCAAGCGGGGTGGCGGCAGACGGTGGAAGGCAGGAATCTTTACCTACCAGATCCAAGACATCAAGCCCTAAAGCACTAGACACCATACCCCCCCAGTCCAGCCCAGGTGTGGCAGCGGAGGTGGCAAGCGCAGTGGAGGCGTGGTGGCGGTGGGCGGAGGAGGTGGAGGGGTGGTGGCGGCGGCGGAGGCGGAGGTGACAAGGGGGGTGGAGGGGTGGTGGCGGTGCCGGCGGCGGCGGTGTTGGTGGCGGTCGTCGTCGTTGATTGAAATCACTCTGCTAATGGGACCAAAACCTCAGGCAGCAAGTCTAGTACTACCCGGCACTCAAGAACACAGCTATGACGTGGCACCTCGTGATCAGTATGTCCGTGCTTCTTCGCCTGCGCTTCTTGCCAAGATGTCCTGATGTTGGCCGGCATACTGTGGCCGGCATCCACAGCTTAGCAGCTTAGCACAGCGTACTGCCCCAACCCTCAACTTACCTTCCCCTGACCCCTTTCATTACCACAGAGGGTTTCCCACCACCAGGTGAAAAGCCAAGTCCTGCCATACTGGCCATTGGCGTGGGGGAAGAAGCTTCGACCACCGCCCAGGTCAAGTCCTTTGGCATGAGATGGGTCCTGCACCATCTTGCATGCACAAGAAGACCCATCTGATGGAGCTGTTCATCCAGCAGCTGCTGCAAGAAGACTCTCCAACATACAGTAGCGAGCGAAGCGAAAAGAATTACAAGAGGACTCGTCAAAATTGATGCAGCAAAGACGAGCAAGTCTGCAAGGGCGGCAGTGCAACGATTCGAGGTCTGCAGCCTTTCCAAGTTCTGCTGCAGGGAGCTCTCCCCATGACGCGAAGCAAGGACCACACGAGGGCTGCCTTGTAATCAAAGACGCTGAATGTCTCTCAGTGCGAGAGTTCTAGCAGAAGTGGAGTAGGACATGTCCTCATGATTTCTTTCGCGATGTGGGTCTGCACACTGCCAAGCCATCGGTAGTTCTGATCTCTTGTGGAATCTAGCCAACTAGCAACTCCATGAGAGTGACTCAGCGCGCTGCTGAGCATGCTAGACCTAGCGTGTTTGCGGGAAGCCGGTGACAATTTTCAATGCTGCAGATCTCTCCAGTAGAGTGTGCGATTCCCACTGGCTTCCTGCACTTCTGATCTCCAAAAACGTTGCCTGCGCTGCACCTGAGTCTGACCCTAGAAGCAGAACTCCAGACGCAGAGCGGGCGGGTGTTGAGAATCGGCAGTGCAAATGTCCCCGCCAGATGACTATCTGCCAAAGAACCTATGGCAGAATGTCAAGCGTTGCAGTAGGACGCATGTGGCAGCCAAAAGAAATTCTACCATGACCAGGTGACAAAAGAGGGCTTTAATGCGACAGCAAACCGCAGCAACGCCCGAGCGACCCTCCCGCACGTTGGGAAAGAGCAGCCCGACTGACGAGTTTCACTGCCTGCCTAGGGGAAACATGAGGCAGGAAAACTAAGATGCAGTGCAGAAGCTCGGTACCAAAACAACAACAAATTCGAACACATGTAAGTCAGAAAACCAACCATCGAGCTCGTCAGCTATATCACATTCTGTGCTTTGCTGGGAACGCTTCTGCACCTGTGCCTCACGGATGGGTGCGTCACGCGGCTTTCCACGAAACGCGGTGTTGTGGCTGGTGGAACGTTGCAAGCGTATTCCGCAGGGCGGAAATGAAATCGATGGGCGCCACAGGACGTCACTATTCCCATGCGCACATGGGCGCGCGAATCTTTTGTGACACGTGACTATGAACATTATTATCTCACAAGGCAAACTTAGAGCGTCCTGGCAGCCTCTGACTGTTTCAAATTATGGATGGAACAAACAATTCGTCCGAAAAATTTGTCACGGACTGACCTGCCAGAACAGCCTCACAGGCTGGGAGGTCACATCCTACATCTTTACGGGCGTGGTTTAGCATTAAGGCACCAGTGGCAGGTGATCAGGTTCTCACGTGCCTTTCAGGACTTTTTAAGATGATTATGATTGTAATGAGCGTGAGGTCTCGCTTCCCTTCATACGTCCACTGGCACCGTGCTGGCTCAGGCAACGCCTGCCTGGCAGGGGGATGCGAAGGTCACGGAGCTGGGGATTTCCAAGCTGTGGGGTTCCTTGCAGGTGATTGTACGAGTTTAAGCGAAGAAGGGTTTCTAACATCAGGCATGCCTGCAACAGCTCTGTAGGATCTTGATGTTTTGAGGGTATACAATACAAAGGGACTGGATTCTGTCAGAAGTGCTCAATTTCCTCTCGAGCTTTGGAACCCCATCCAAGCACCTTTCCCCGGTTGAATCGGTTAAAAAAACCACTGTTTTCCGAGCCCTTGCAACCGTCTCGATCAGATGCCATGGATTGACAGGCTTAATTTTTCCAGTTCGGCAGATCTTGCCACTGCTTCCAGGGATGATGACTTGCTGTGACCTGCTTTCAGATCAGCTCCTGACGTTGGCGTCCCGACTGCGGAGAAGCAATTACGATAAGTATCACTATTATTCTTATTATTGTTATTACAATTATTAATAGTAATATTCATACTATTACTGATATTAATATTTATCATTGACAGTTTTGGAAACGGTTTAGATGCCGACCCGTCCTGCTTGACCCCATGCTCGTAGAACTTACAGGGGCACTTAGAATTGGATGTCTCTACTTGCAACCTACACTAGGGCACAAATGACGCTACTTGCCACAGATTCTCCTCCATATCTCTAAGAAGATTGTGC